TATCATATGCAATTGAATAAGTAGACCATTTCGGAATTTGAAATTTGGGACTCTCTCAATGCATAATGGGACTCATACTTTTCTGATCAGTGAGTCCCTGGGACTCGCTGCAGGTAAACTGTAAAATGATCACTGAGAGATTACCGCTTTTTCTGCAGTCAGTGATTGACTTCTATGCAAAGTCATTTCTCAACTTGTGTTCCGTGCCATGTCATGCCTGTTGAGTGTTGATTTACTTCATATTAAGAAACTACTGCACTAAAACATTAATTCATAAATGTATGTCATATGATTTTATTTCTTTTTCTCAGTATAAATAACACGTACCCTGACTGTTCTACTCTTTGAATAAAATCACTTCATTCAAGCGTTAGGGAGTGCAAAGGGTTATGATGGAGGGGTGTTGCAAATCATGAGGACAGTCCTTGGTCCTTGGCCTTGGCCTCGGAAGCAAGTCCTTGGTCCTTGGCCTTGGCCTCGGAAAATTTTTCAAGTCCTTGGCCTTGGCCTTGCCTCGGAAAATTTTCCAAGTCCTTGGCCTTGGCCTTGGCCTCGGAGGCAAGTCCTTGGCCTTGGCCTTGGCCTCGGGTTGCCGGTCCTTGGACACAACACTGCAAACCATCAAAGCAGAGGCGAGGCGCTCCATCCGCTTTGTCCAAATACAGTACTGCAGGGCACATACTGATTGATCAATGCTTTTTACTCACACATAATTAGTGGCCAATGCTTTTTACTCGTTGTATCCCTATTTAACTTTGCTTAAAATTTGACAAAAGGTTTGAATTCACATTTAGTCACCAAATCATATACTTGTTCAACCTTATCTAGTCTGAAGGCTATACATTTGACAACTTTGGCCAAAACAAAACAATGGTATGTAGTTTTATTGGATTATTTGAGTAAAACTTCCAATGACCAATATAGAAAGGTGACCATAGAATGCACTATGCCCATGTAGCGTATAATGTGAATAAAGGCAGCCATAAAACCCTATCCAGTTAAACTTCATGAGTTGTATTCTTTGGCATTTGACTCGGCATGACTCAGACTTGATCTTAGTTTTACTGTTTTGTGCTTTCTCCTGTCTTAGTTTTTTTTTTATTGTTGTACAGTATATATATTTGCTCCATGTACAGCACTTTGTATACAGCAATGGTTGTTTTAAAGTGCTCTATAAATACAATTGAGTTAAAAAAACAAACTAACAAAAAAAAAAAGACAAGACCTCAGTTGAAAATAAACTGTATTGATTGGTTAATGGTACATTTTAGCCCTCTTTTCTCCCAGGAAAACCCTTCTCAGTGCAGTACCTGTTAAAGGTTTAAGACGCCATTAAAATGAACACAAGTAGACAGGTCAGATATATAGAGCATTGTTACAAAGTCTTCCCAAAAGGCACAAGAGTAGCCATTACGTCTCCCTGAAGAGAACATTTGCATAATATGAATAAATACACCTGCTGGCACATCCAACTGTGCCACAGTGAACACAGTCTTCATAGAATCAGCAAAGGACGATAACATCATATAAATATCTCTCCATAAAATATATAGTCAAAATTAAGATGAGACGAAGTACCATTAACTCGAAAAATATCAATTTCAAGCACATAGAAATTCTTAAAAAAAAAAAAAAAAAAACTGCCAAATCTATTGTTCAGCCTCCTTAAGAACCATAAATTGGGTGAAATGTGCAATTAATAGCATTTTTGTAGGGCAAACGCAGCACTCACGCCACTTGAAAGACAATTTCAGTTATTGCCAAGGAATCTTACGTTTAGGTTAAAATGTGTCACTCTGCTCGCTAATATCAGGGGTGGGGAACCTTTTTCCCTTTATCTGGGGGCCACTGACGTTTGTATTAAGTCCTTAGAGGGCTATGGGAAACAGGGCAAAAATAAACAAGCATACACTTACTTATCTCACATTTGAGCATTTGCGGTTTTAATGTCTTTATTGAGGTTTTATTTTGTAATTGGATGGCTCTTGAGCCGCAAGTTCCACACCCCTGATCTTAAGAGTCTCACTCCAAGCTTCTCACCACTTTTAGACAACTGAACCATTTACTCGTTTTTACCAGCCAGTCTTTGGTTCAGCAGTTACAAAACATGAGGGAGCCTTTGTAAAGAAAACTAAAAATTGCTCTGAGTCCTCTTTCCTTTTTTTGAAAAGGAAGACCTTATTAGTTCTTGATAAAACTTTTCTGAGAGTCTATAAATTTACCACAGATTTAAGTGATCTCAAATCAGCACCACAGTTATTTGTTTCAGCAAAATGCCAGACAAGTGATAGAATTTGTAAGCAGACAGCATTAAGTTTGTGGGAGGACAAACAAACGCGCACACGGACGCATTCTGTTTGCACCACTTGGCATAGCAGAGCAGTTAGTAGTGTTATATTGTATGATGCTCTGGATTAAGAACATAAAAAAAAAAAAAATCCCAAATTAAGAGTTAGATGCAATCTCATCATATTTCCTGGAGGGTGCACATTACATTTGGAATCAGTCAGTGTCAGTGAAACGCATCATTGTTCCTACAATAAAATCTGGACTGTGAGTCTGCTGAAGGATCATCACACGGCCTGACATCACAGGTCAATCCCGCACAGGATCTGTGGATCTTGGAAGCTCGGCTCAGAAAATTTTAAGAGCGATTTAAGTGGGGGGGACGAACCTTTCTTTCACAGTATGAGCGCACATCACAGTAGCACGTCACTGGCCAATTATAGGAGGATGTACTTCTGCATTCTCGCTTTATTAATTTGAATGATTGATGGAGCTATTTTTTGTTTGATGCTCTTCCAGTTGTTGCTTCAGTATTTGAAGCACCATCATTGTAGATTTTAGCTTATGAAGAACTAAAAAAAAAAAAAAAAAGTTATTTTCTTAGATAGTTGTCTGCATCATTAAGAGTGGTAACAGCGATCGAAATGAAATCCCGACCATTCTCAGAGGGAGTCGTTCGCGAGCGTCTCTGTGGAGAGCCAGATCCTGGCCCCATTCAGAAACTTACTGATGGGGGTTCCGTGAATACTGCGGCGACATAAGTTTCCTACAGGGGTGAAAGGAAAAGAGGAGGAAAGAAATTCTGGAGGCGAATCATTTGGGGAAGCGGCCTGAAAATACATCCGCCTTTGGTCAGCAGTGGTCCCTTTTGAGCTGGGGAGGGGCGTGTTGCTTGGGGTGGGTGCCTTGTACTGCCTGAGGTGGTTCTGTAGCATCTCGATTTCGTCCACCAGTTGGGAGAGCTTGTGGTAGGCAGTGATGAAACCCCCCTTGGAAATGCAGGCTTCAGGCACCCAGCGGAGGAAGTAGAGCTTCCAGAGGGCCACGTGGGAGGGCGTGAGCAGGGGGAGCAACAGGCCCTGCTGGTCAGCGGGCCGAGAGAACCACTCCCTGAAATAGCGCTCCGACGGGCTCTCCACCACATATTTCATGGGTGAGAAGTCGGTCTTCAGCTCGGCCCCCAGAGAGCCTCGTCGAGTGAGGGCTTCCTCTCCGCCTTTCAAGCCATGACGCAGAGATGCAGAGGCTCCTCGGAAGACGGAGCCGTATTTCTGGAAGGGGAGTAAAAAACATCCATGAAGATGTAATCAGAGATGGCAACGCCTGTAATCTCCTTTCGAGAACATTCTGGCTATTCGGTTAGAAGCATATTCATTTTGGCAAAAACAACAAATATGCTCGACCAGAAAGACTCAAAATGTTCATATTTTTACTATATATTTTTCTATATTTTCTTTAAATAATTTACAGTCTCATGATATTGACATTTTAATTGTTTTTATTTCATTCAGTATGTCTTGGCGCAATATTGCTCAATATACCAGTACAATAACGTTTTGCCTGTTTTATTTAAAGAATGACAAAAATAAGTAAATCAAATAGTATGGTCATTTAGCAAAGCTGAATTTATTTAAAAAATAGTAAATTAAGAAATGAAACATTTCTTGTTATCTCAAACTTCAGAATGAAATCTGGCGGTTCATCTATCGCACGTCTCATCTCCTAAACATTTTTTACCTCATGGGAACAGCGGAATACATTATAACTGCCCATAACAAAATACAGCAAACTGTATCACTTGGAATCTCTGCATATTCCATGGCATAGTGGGGTTACCTACATTTCAAGTATAATCACTCACTTATACGGCTGTATGTGCAATGACAAGTGGGATTGTCTGTTAGAGCAATCTTAAACTTGGTGGTTTTGATTGGCTTGGTAGTAATTTGTCTCAATAACACTGGATGTGTATGTTAAAAGTGATGACATGCTGAGAATATAGCAGGGTATAATAAGCTTTTGAGATAAGTGGATAAGATTAAAACCACTGCATTAAATATATCCTTTTAAATTAATATATGAATCCTTAAGAAGAACAGGTATAGTTGATGACGAGGTAATATATTTTTTAAATTGATAAATACACAAACTTTGTTGTGATGACCCCCCCTGCACTTAAACGCTGGGAGTGCAGTAAATCAGTCAATCATGAGGACACGCATGCTACTGAATCAGAATTTGTGTGCAAACTTTTGATCAGTGTATGATAGACAAGAAAAATCAGCAGACAGAAAGGCAGTCTTTGTTACCTTTGTGCGTCGAAAGCTTTTCACTTCCCCATTGAGAACACATGCGGCTCCTTTGCCAACGTACATGGGGTTGTTAAAAAGGGTTTGGTCTTTGGTGGAGAATTGCTGTGACCAGTCCCACACAGGAGGGAAGAACACAACGGAGTCCTCCCCTTGGGGGATGGCTTTATTCCTCGCAAAATCCTACAGAAAAGACACAATTTAATGTCTGACTACGACCCGAGTATTTTATCAGTCATGAAACGGGCACACACGTTCAAACAAGTTTATAACAACGAAGAACACACCACTGACCAATTGCACAGAAAGATATTTACAATGAATAGAAATGCTTATTTATCCTCACCATCAAGTACTGTGCACGTTGTTTAGGAGAACTGAAGAGGAAAGTGCTGAAGAGTGGGATCCACATGCTATCACTTAAGACTGTCAGATAAGCTTCTGTGAACTCAAATGCAGCTGGATACTGGTTCATCATTTGCCACACACAGTCCAGAAACAGAATGAACAGTGGGGACTTAAAAAAACACACACAGACACGAAACAGAAAGAGCAGAGGGGGCATACAAAAACACACACACACACACACACACACACACACACACACACACACACACACACACACACACACACGCATAACCAGTGTTAATGTCTTGAAAGAAGATAAGTGCATTACCTTGTAAAAATAAGCAAATACCTCCTCTCTGTCATTCTTTTTTAAGTGGTTGCATCTGTCCAAGAAGCGATGGCCTGCCATCACCCACTCCTTCTGCACCAAACCCTGAAATCCAACAAGGCTGCGATAATGAGGGTCAACCATGAGCTGCACCATGGAGGACACCACGCAGTTCAGGTCACGGTCCTCTTCCTCTGTCAAGACCAGAAGGAACAACATCAAATTGTTTGCAGGAACACTTTTCTATTGAGTCAGTCCAATGATGTGCGCAATACAGTATCTTTGAACAACATTTCTAATTTGATGACATCAAGGTTGTTTTTTTTTTTTTTTTAAATTCACTGCCATTGACAGCCAAAAAAGTCAAAAAGTCCACTGTTTTACGATGGGCTAGCAGAGAATCAATGAGTTAATGGGAAAATTTCAAAGGCACCTTTGTGTTGCTTTTGAGTCAGAAGAATTTACCTTGGAGAATGACTGAAACATTCCTCCCATCCAAATGGTACACTATCTCAGATGCCTGCTTCAGGAAGGCCCTGCAATCACAGATTAGATCTTTAAAAAATGCATTTGTGTATTTACATCTTGTTCCAACATTCACACCAGTCATTCAAACAGCCCATCACAGTGCGCAGGCTAAATGGCGCAACTGTAATTTAGTCAACAAACGGTCCAACATTTGTGATTCTTAAAAATACAATGTTTGACATTATAAATTGCGTGAGGGTTTCTATACAGTGTACATGAGGTGCTATCATACACACTGGCAGTTTGTTTCCGTACCTGACATACTCGAGCCATCGTGAGTTTTCAATGGATGAAAGCCACCTTTCCTCAGACTCCTCAAAAGGATCTGCGCACAATCAAAACAGAACCCCTGAAATCTAAACCGACTGCAAGAATGTTGAGGAATTCCTTCTGGTGTTCAGATAGGAACCAGTAACAAGGCTCGCCTATGACGCAGATCTGTCGGATTTTGACGAAAGAACTCTGGATATCCTGGATGTTGGGCAGACACTTGTCCAGGTCTGAAGTGAAGACTTCACTGCACTGTGGGTGGCTCTTTGTGATGGCAGTGATGATCCTAGCACAATGAACAACACACACTGTGGATTACGGAACTCTTTCAAACAGGTCTAATCTTGAACTGAAAAAGTTGTACTGCTGAAAAACCTGGGCTGTATTTGAAATAATGTACTCATTTCCTACGCACTATATAGGGATATTTATATCGTGGACTACTGGTATACACTGCAGGTGTCAAACTCAAGGCCCGGGGGCCCAATCCGGCTCGCAACATCATTTTATGCGGCCTGCGAAAGCAAATCATGTGTGTCAACTTCCATGATCCTTGCTAAAATCTGTACCGAAATGTCAAATTGTCAGTGTGTAATAAATAACGTTGAGATTTTGCAATAATTGTATTATCCTGTTTACACTCACTTGAACAAACTATTAGTTGTATAGTTGACCTGCAGAAGTAACAATATGATGAGACGACAAAACATTTATTTGGTTTCACTGTCATAACGACCCTCCGAGGGAAGACGTAACTCCAAAGTGGCCCACAACAACAATTAGTTTGAGACTTCTCTGTATTTTATGTTTAGTTTAACTGCAATCTTCCAACTGTGATTGGCAATTAAGAGGTTCAAGTCTCTTAACTCATTCACTCCCAAAGACATATTTATGTCTTTTCAGACTTCACACATTCAATCCCATATACTTAGGTTTTCTTTTTTCCTAGCTTTTTCCCCCCAAGACTGAAAGTCTTTTTTTTTTTTTTTTTTTTTTTAATACGGATCTCAAAATGGCTGGTACTGAATGAGTTTTAAAGGATTTTTTTTTTTTTTAATGGGTCTGAAAATGGCTGGTACTGTATGAGTTAAGTTTTTACAAAATTGGACCCACAAAAATAAATGGAAAAAACACAGGTAGCAGTGAAAACTCTCCCTACCCCTATAAATTAGAATTGTTCACTATCTGCCAAACTGCTGCTCGTTGCAAAGTGAATTGGGTGGAGTTCACTTAGCTATGCATTCTTAGGCCTTGCGGTACCTCTGCTCAATCTTCCTCTGCTGGACCGGGTCACACACACTGGCCATGCGCACAAGAGCACTTCCATTCCGGTGATTCCAGCACCAAAGCTACAACAAAGGAAACAAAGGCTCAACTTGGTGGAGTGATAGGAATTAAAAGGAAAAACATTCCTGTTCATCTTTTGACAAACCGCACGTTAGGTGTAAATGACACTCACTGGGAGGCGGTTGCCAGTTAGAAATATAGAGTACTGCTTTAGATCCTGGTCTGCTAGAGATACTGGGACGACAATGTACTCCGGAAGACTGAGAAGCAGGAGAAAAAAAAAGGACCATGAGTCACAAAATATATGCTCTCAAAAGGCACTTGTTGTTCATGCAAATATCTGTTAGCTCAATCAAGTAACATTGTTCATAGTCATTTAATGTGTCAAGTTACTAATAATAAGAAATAAACAATACATCCACACGAGTAAAACTGTGAACAATGACTACAATGCAAGCTCTATGAGGTCACCGCTGGACTCAGTGGCACCTCCTGTCAAATGGAGACGTGCATTACAGTGAAAATTTAATGAAATGAGCAGCATGGGTTGAGTGTGTAAACACACCGTCTTGGCAAAACATACCAGGGAGAATTTTAGACAGTTAATAATATTCTAGGAGTTGCCATCATACTTTTTCTTCACGCTCATTGCACTTGCAAAATAACAGCAGCCCAAACCTTGAGGAGATGTTGTAAAACTCGTTTATGGAACACACTCTCCACTCCGAGGCGCCCGTTCTCTTGATCTCTCTATCCCACTCAGACCGGCGATCAAAAATGGGCGTCTGTAATCCTCCTCGTCGGACAGACCCATTGAGTCGCTCATCTGGAAAGTAAAGACGCAGGAATTCAATCTCACTGGCATGTATAAGGAAGACACATTTATAATATTTCATTATGACAAGAAAGAGTGTTTTTGGAACCTTTGGATTCATGGTACCGCCTCCCCTGATACTCAAAGCCAAAGAGCAGATGCAGATCAGCTGGATGGGAGTAGTGAGCAATAGCGAGACAAACCTACATTAAGAGAAGCACAACAGAACTACTCATGAATGACTGAATCAAACTGAGAAAGATTTTTTTTAATGACCATTTCACTTCGAGTACAAAAAAAAACATCTGAAGGCATTTTAAATGCTTCCAACACATGAACAAGTGTGACCTGGGAACCAAGCATTTTGCTCTGGATTGCCCAGGAGTCCCACAAAGCAGGCCATTCAGTAGAGAAGCTGTGAAAAGCATGAGGACACCAAAGAAAACACTGCGTGTGTCTGTGCGTAAGGGAGTACCCGACTCTGTAATTTACTTCAGTAAAAGAAGTTATTATAGGTTGGCTGAATTCCATATGTCGTAAAGAGGAAAAGAGCCAGACAATTTTTTTTTTTTTTTTTTTTTTTTTTAACTTCACACTGTAATTACTAACATTGTGTCCCTAAATATCCACAGCAGTGAGGAGTGGCTAATACATTTCTATTCTAGAACTTCCATGTTGGAGTAAAGAACATACTCTGCCAGAACAGAATTCAACATTGCAAAAGTTCACAGAGGCTAAATACAGTATCATGATATCATGACTAAGGTAGTTGCTTATTGAGACAATTCAGTTAGAGTCTCCTCTTATCACACTAATCCTGGTTGTAAAAATCACCCAATCCTTCCAGATTTACTATTGTAAGTCTCAAAATGTACTCCATATTCAAAATGTAGATAACGCAAATCAATTTTTTTGGGTGACAATTTTGTAATTATAAATGTAGTTCAGGGCAATCTAATTCCAAGAATTAATGTTACGAAAGGTTTTTCTCCTGGAGTATTTTGATTTAATCTTTGGTGTTTTCCAAAGCAAAAATTAGTTTTTTTAAATTCCACGATTAGCTAATCGAACAGACTGATGCCTCAACTAAAAATTGACACGATTTTCTCCTTTGACTTTACCAGGAAAAAATATGACCTACAAGCACTACGAGACGGTGGCAGAGACAACAGTGATGACAAAATCCTAGGAGCAATAATATGATCTGTGGCTGGGAGTTACTCTTATAATACGAATGTACAAATTTTTAAATTGATTTCAGACCACATGAAAGGTGACCTGGGATGAAAGAATCTAAGTCAGTGGTTCATAACCTGGGTTCGATCGAACACAAGGGGTTTGGTGAATCGGTCTCAGGGGTACAAGGGGTTTGGTGAATCGGTCTCAGGGGTACGATGGAACCTCTGCCGTGTCGGTTAACACATACCTGACTCAACATGTCAATTAGTTATGACACGCCCGCTTGGCCATCATTGGCTGCAGATGATCACGTTACATTGCTTGTCCAATCAGTGCTGCGGGAAATTTAGTTCACTCAGTAGTCACCATGTGACTGTTGTGATAGTACATCCATCATACAATTAAAAATATATATATTTGGGCCATGTAATTTGATTTACTTTTTTCTGTTTTTAATAAATATGTTTTTTTAATGTCTTGAATTTGTAAAAAATCAAATTTTTATTTTTCACTAATGACGGGTTCGGTGAACGTGCATATGAACTGGTTGGGTTCGGTACCTCTAACAAGGTTAAGAGCCACTGATCTAAGTAGAAGCAATCATTTACCTTTTTAGCACTCTCAGGCCCGGCCTCATCAAAGCAGAACCTTATGATCCGCAAGTCTTTACAATAAAGGATGAGCTCAGTGGGGTTGAACTTCAGCTTTTGGTTTGAGCCCAAAACTTTCTTCTTCCCCTTTGTATCGTTCACTGAAATGAGGAAAAATATAAGATGAATCTTTTATTAAATGTGGAAAAAAAAAAAGATTCCGAAAAGGCAAGTCGAGCTGTGAATACAACTGGAAAACACAATCTGGTGTTAGCGAAAATGAGGCTTGATAGCATTTTTCACATCAGACAAAGCCCGGTGTGTTAGCATGAAACAAGAGCCCCTCATCACTACAACGTCTTTGCTTTTGTGCTCAGTTTAGATCTGCACTGTAAGCCATTAGTGAAATGTGAAAACAAGGCTAATCCACATTCAGATGCAAAACACTGCTGGCATCGCTTATTATCAGAGGGTAGATCAGATAACTCAGATAAAAGCTAAAACAAAAAAGGAAGAATTTGTTATGGCCAATGTCGGGACCAGTCCTACCTGTTACCACGTGCTCTAAACATGTCAGTGGGATGTCATGCTCTCCGAGCAGCAAGTGGGACAGCTGAAACTTCTGAGTGGCAAAACAAAAAGCAGAATGTGACTCGACCCATTAAAATCTGGTTCAGCAGTTTGCACTTTATTATCTCTGCAGCAGTCTGAAGCATAGGTGGAAATGACGCATGTTCTTACTTCACAATGAAGAACAGGAAAGTTTACTTCCTCTTTCCCACTTCATACGCACAATAGACATGGAAGTGGGAATACATACAGTACACCACTTTGAGTCATTCATTCATCCTTCGCTATTTTGTTACACATGCCAGGTAGCGCTTTTTCTGCTTACAGCTGGTGCATTCATTGCAGTACATGACCACCACACGACCTTATTCTTACCGGTTTAGTTGAAGCATCTTGAGGGATGAAGGAGACCTTAAAGTTGGTACAAATCAACTTGCCCCAGAGATCATCTTGGCTGCTTTCAGCACTGATGCATTTCCTCACAAAGTTCACCTCGTTAACTACTATCTCCCCTGGAAATAGACACGGGTTTAAAATTTAGAGTACACAAATAAAACGTCATTTGAAAAGGAAATTAAACTAATTTCAACTAAGGACTTTTGGGTGCACTTGTACCAAGTTTTGACGTGGTCATCTCTCACTGCCAACCATTTAAATTTCTGCATAAGTAAAGGTCTACATTTACAATATGGTTCCGCTGGCCATGGCAGTCCCGTTTAAAACCATCGTGTACAGAACAGGGTGCTCATGAGACAATGCCTGTTGCCTGAGATGGATACAAGAGATCGAATACTGAACTACCTGTTGACAAATGAGCCCCAAAGCTACCTGGCATTTAAGTTTTACCAGAGGAAGGCCTTGACAGAAAGTGAGACACGTGATGGATCCCATCAGAATGTGACGGGACGGAAGAAAACACACTGGCATCCATGGTGGACCACGGGCTAAACCACAGTGCACCTTTGAACCTCCGGGACTCCGCAGCCCCATCCTCCCATTAACCATCACCATTACCGTGTTAGACCTTGAGAAAACGTTGCAAGATGTGAATAAGGAGTAAAGTGTTTCAGACAAGCTGGTCAGCCGTGGCCACTGGGTCCGTAGCCATCACATTACAATGACTGCCACTTAAAATTTCCCAGGACGTTCAAAAGCGGAAGTTTTTTTTTTTTGTGAAGTGGATCATGAACAGGAAGCTGTGGTAAATTCCGTAACTTTCACTTTGATCCTGTCTAAGCAATATGCTCAAATATATTGTTTTTTTTAATTCAAGGCTATAATTAATCTATTCCTCTCCATGGTATTTCACCTATGAAAAATTACTCTAAATAGCACACCACAAAGTTTTATTTCAAAGGCTGCAGTGAGCCACTCCCTGGAGGATGCCTTTTCATCTGGTCAGACAAAAACCAGAATTATATTTAGAATTAAAAACTCTCCTGCTTCTCCAGTTCATAAATGAGTAGCACGTGAGACAGATTTTTTGCAATTAGTTGGCAGGACACTTGAAACTAACTTTCATGGCAGAGCTTTACAGTGGTTATTCCCTTCAGAAAAGGCACAGAGTCAAGGAGAAAAAAACTAAACAAAACGAGGGTGATGCCACAATGGGCAAGATGCAAAGATAAATAGCAGGGTGGTACTGACAAAGCGCACTGACCTCCAACTACCCTTGACTAAAAAAATTCAGTGCCTGACAAAAGCCACTTGTCATTTATTGTATGGCACCGTTAAACTTTGGTAGTGATGGCATTTGCTTCACAGAAAGTCAGATTTCACACGGGTTGTGAGGTCTGCCATTTTGTCTCTTGTTTCCCCATGCTGCTGTTCTGTGTAAATGGCAGCGATACCATTTTCAGCCTTCAAAGGTAGTATCGGTAGTATAGGTAGTATGGTATGACACCTGTATGTAGAGGAAACCTTGGAAAGGTGGGAGAGAGTGTGTGAAACTTGACACCTGACATTCACTTGTCCTGCTCTGTTGTACTGAAAGCAATTGTCCATAAGAATTTAAAATGTCAGAAGACCACTTCTAATTATCAGATTACGGGACGGCGCACGGAGGCTGCAGCTCTCAAATATTTTTAAATGAATTACTCCACCAAGTATTTTTATATAAATAAAGATGGATTGAATTGTATTGTATCCCATCAACGAACTGAATTTAAAAAATGCTGTGTATTATGTAACAAAATGAGCATGTGAGGGGCAGTTATCATTGTTGTCCACTCAGGGACCTTGAGGGAATGTCTGCCAGCTTTACAAGCTTACCTGGGAGTAACTTGGGTTCCAACTTTTTAATAGGGGGGTCAATGGTCTTCTTCACATCACTCTAAACAGGAAACACAGTAACCAGCAGTCAGCGGTTAATGAATGATGGCAAAAATGTGACATTACAAAGTAGGTCATGAGAATAATCACGTTGTTCATATTTTCCCATAGAAAGAGCAGCCATGGAGACCAAGGTTCCTCGAATGCTTTGTACATGGCCTCTTTGTTTTACCAAATAAAGTCTTATATGGGCCAAATCTCCAAATGGTTCGAAAACAGATACTACTATCATTCATTAAAATGGTAAGCTAACCATGTCAACCACATGTCACTTGTTTGTACGAGTTTCATGCACCATTCAATTTCCTCTAAACAAAAATCTGTGTCGTCAATGGGCGCAATCAACCTGCACCCTGACAACATTGTCAGTTTTGTAAGCCTTATTAAATACTGAAAGCACTTTCCCAAATTTTTAAAAAAAGAAAAAAAATCTGAAAATTTAGATTTTCTATCCATGTTATTTTTTCATTGAATTACTGAAATAAATTAACTTTTCTATGATATTGTAATGAATTGTGATGCACTGGTATGACCCTTTTAACAATTGACCAACATTTTTGCTTGACAATAACTTAATATAATGGACATAAAACAGAAGGCACTTAATATCCACCTTCCACTATCAGGCCTGTGTATATGTATTAAGTCCCTCTCTCCAGTCTAATTATCTAACATCACATAACTCAAGTCCGACCATTTATTTGGCCATTTTTTTAACTCAGAAACACACTGAATACAACATAAGATATACCAGAAATTATGATGTTCAAACCCCCCCCCCCCCCACCCCCAAAGACATCAGCAACAAAATCTGTTGATTGTACTCTTGGTTGGGAAGTTAAACAAACGTCAAATGACAAAGAATTTAAAATAATGTGAAATGTTCTACCTATAAGTCCTATCTTTATGCAATCATTAAGGAACACATTTTTAATTAATCAGCCTATTAATCAGTGACTGGAATTTTAACCGAAAAAATGGGTTCTACATCTTGCTATTTATTTTTGAAAGTAAATATATTAAAAGCAGTGCTGGGAACGAAGTTGCAAAGTATGCTCTACTGTAATTAAGTAGATTTTTCAGGTACTGTATCCGAATTTACTTGGTAAAATGAGGGAAAAGGAGGCCAGCTGCAACAAGTTGAAAGGCTAAATATGGACACTTAACTAAACAGCAAGGGATTGGGAGAAGCAAGATATTCCCAAACAATGGCCTTATACATTTCTGTTGCAAAGGTGATTCTAACATGTTAGGTTAAAATTGGGTAAACTTATTTCACCTGCAGTTTTTTCCCCTTGTAAGTTTCAAAAACTGGGGGACGGAGGGGGGCAGTGTTTGCTTTTTAAGTATAATTCGCTGTCTGCAATGTTTCTTAAGTACAGGAGTTGAAATACTACTACAGTACAACATTTACCATTTACCAGTGTACTGAGCGAGGACTTTTGCCACTCCTGTTTAAAAGGCAAAGTCTGCATACAACTCATAAAACATAGCATGCACATTTGTGTTGTGTTGTGTCCATGTACCTGTACAGGAGGAAGGTAACACTTGAAGGTTGGTTTCATTGGTTTGACAGAAAACATTGTTTATGTCCGCCCTGTTGAGGTTGGTATTAATGGGCGTTTTGAACAGCTAGCTTCCACTGAGGGGAAAAAACAAATCAAACGGAGCCTTCGAGTCAAAGCCCGTCTGAAGGTTGAGCCCCAGACGTCCTTAGGAAACAAAAAATATTCACACAGACGTGTTAGTTGGGCGATGGTACTCCTCCATTTCGAGCTAGCCACTTTGGGGGGGAAAAAAAGTTGACCCAAGTTAATGTTGGGACATCCGCGTTAGCTCACGGCGCTCGTTAGCATAAAGTACGGAATAAAAAGTTTGGAAATGCTAAATTCGCGCAAGTTTAGCTCGCTAGGAAAATAGAGAGACCTCCGACGGGCGTCTACATTTTCGTAACCACCTGTTACCGAAGTCCAGACCTGCCAGTGACTTCCTCAAAGTGTGACTAATTCAACCGAACGCAGGAGCAAATGCAGTCAAAGGCTTAACGGCCATGTTTGGAAAGTAAGCGGCGACGTCCCACCCTACTTCCGGACTTCAAGCACGAGTGTATCCGAGGCTCTACGCATTTACAAAGTTAAAATAGATGTGCTTATAATAGTTACATTAACTGAACCGCTATCTACGACTTTTTGCTGTGACGCGTATACATTCGACTGTCGTTTCTCGCCACTGGAAGCCATAAACAATCGAAACGTCCAGATTTTATGGACTACAAATCCCATGAATGCTTCGCTAGGGATTTTTTTTAAAAATAGCTTTATTGAAAGTTAAAATTTGGTACGGAAAGTGTATTTTCTTTTTAGTACAGTAGCTGTTGAAATATGCTTTAAAATCTACACTCACCCGACGCACTGTTAAATATACCTATTTCACCATAGACCAAAAAGAAAAGATGAAGAACGAAAATTATTACAGCAGTAAGAGTAGGAAAACATTATCTCTAATATTCTTGGCCCCAGAGTGCAAAAAACAAACACACAAAATAGCACACAAGAAAAAGAAATGGAGAAAAAAAAGGCAAGAAAAAGGATTCACAAACAAAAAAAAAAACAAGGAAACAAGAAAAGGTAATCACAAGCAAAAACAAATTAAAAAAAGGAACTATAAACAAAAAAGACAAGCAAACAATAGAACGAATCACAAACATCAAAAGCACACAAGAAAAAGGAATCACAAACAAAAAAAAGAAAAAGGAATTGCAAACATAAAACACACACCTAAGAAAAGGGAATTGCAAACAAAAAAACAAGCAAATAAGAAAAAGGTATCCAAACAAAAAAATCTGGCAAACAAGAAAAATAAATCGCAAACAAAAACCGCACACAGAAGAAAAATGATCGTAAACAAAAGGCAAGCAAACAAGTACAATGAATGGCAAAAAAAATGAAAGACAGAATATTTTTTTCAGTCAACCCATTACGAAAATCAAGACATCAGTTGATTACATGGAAGTAATAGTTCGCAGCAAACGTTGATAGAAATCCAATCTGCAATTACATCGGTTGTGTGTGTTTATAAGGCACAATACCACAGGTACTATATAATATGAAATACAATACTCTTTCTTGCATGCCGTGATGTCCACTTGGTGGTGCCAAAGGGGATTTAACTACATTTGAAGCCTCGACACGCACGTCAAACCAAATGCATGGAAAGCCTCAATGCCTCAAGGAGCTTCATCTCACCATCACTACTTGCAAGTGTAGTAGGCGACTGCAGACATGTCCAGGTCTTAATCAATGCTCTTTATCAGTACACATCTGAAGGATGAGCCTACTCTGCAGGTGAATTAAGGCATCGGTCCGTGCACTCTATTTGAGAAGGAATACTGTAGTCTAGTTTGACAGTGCCTTCAGGGATCTGCAGAGCAAGTGTTGATTCCACCGAGAACGATCCTGATTCTGCACGGAGCAAATCTTGGTTCCAGTGCTTGAAAGGTGATTTTAAGTGGGCATTAAAAAAATGACTTAAAAGGATCATGTAGAAAGCAAATTCATGTAATAATTAATGAAGAGTTCCTTTGGAAAACTATTTGCAAAACCAAAACACTGTGAAACATTGTGTTTATAAAATAATCAACATCACTGTTGTCTTGGTCCCACTCCAACCAGATTTATCCATCCATCCATGAGCCACTTATCCCCTGGAGGGTCGCGGCCATGCTCGAGAGTGCCGACTATCCTCACTGTCTTTAGGAAGTAGGTGGGGCACACCCTGACCTGGTATTATAATAATTATAATTATAATGTTGTTCCTTGATGTATCAGTTGCTATGCAGTTGCTGTAGTCCTTTCATTGTCACCTTTATTCTGTCATATAGGGTATAGGAAGGAGTTACTCTGTGACATGTCAGTACATCGCACTTCCTCCCAGTCAGAGTGTCAGCTGTCTTCTGTGTCCTCTGCATCCAGCCCTGCTCTCTGGAGTTACTTTGTACTTTCGTAAATAAAGACTTTTACTTTTCAACTTCCGTGTCATATCTGCTTCTGTATCCAAATTCCCCTCTTCACGTGACAAATAATACATTTCACTTGCATTACTTATCAAAGTGCATTTCACCAACCTATGGGTTTTAGGTAGAACAAGGAATAAAAGCAACGACATAAACAAAGTGTGAACTATCCACTTGACCTAGATATTGTAGGTCGCTCTTCTGTCAATCTACACACTGGGCCAAATTTTCCTAGGGTAACTACTGCTGTGCCACATTGAGTTTTGTGCGCATATGTGTCACAGCATGGCACGTCAGTTTATTTGTTTTTGGAACGAGAACATCCGAATTATGCCCTACAGTGTGAAAGTAGCCTATGTGACTGCGACATCTAGCTGCTGGCATGCAAACCCAAATATACAGTAAAATGTAATATTGTAGACCTCGCCCTAATTTCCACAAACTGCTTTGATATCCACGGAGGTCTTTGAATTCTGATTCTGCAATCCTGTGGGGATTAATTTGAAGCCAAATTTATGTTGTGTGGCAACTCCAGGTCAACAAAATGTCTCACACATGTCCATTACCACGTCGACATTTAATACACACCAAGGTAAATGGATATATCAGGTCGACTCGCATAGCTTTTGCTGGATAAATTGTATATCAAGCATATGATTATGAATTCTGTAAATTCTGTATGTTTTGGGATTTTAATAATCTCTGTTATACCAGTGTCACAATCACTACACAAGTGGACATAAGTGGAAAAAAAATAATGTGAAACTCGACACAGTATTACGCACTTTTACATAGGCATAGACATGGTTCAAGATGTCTTCAATGATTTGCTGAAGTCAGTCTTAACAAGAGCAGAGAGCAATACTGGACATTGAATATGTGTTTGTGTTGAAGGACCTGAATCCTATCTGTCAAATGACAAGTGAAAGGCCAAGCACACCATATATTCAGGACTGCATACCGGAGAGGATGAAAATATTTGGAGCACAATAACAGGTCCAGGATGTTCTGTTTGGATTGGCCATCATCTTGGATACTTGTACAGTATTTACGAGGGTTATTGTTTTATGGTTTAACATGTTTAACCGTACTTTTATCTTTTTGTTATGAGTGTAACAAATAGTTCTGAGTGTAACAAATTCTCTGATATCCATACTGTGCAGGATAACACGAATATTTTTCATCATGCAGGGTCCACTTCCCACTGCACTGCGATCACCCACTGCTCCTTATGGGTGTCCTAAACCGCAGTGGTGCCCAAAGTGGGGGTCGGGACCCCTCTGACATATTAGCCATAACACTCCCCCTGCCTCCAAAATCAGCAAATTTATACTGTGGATGCTTTCGAAAGTTATGCGAATACAATCTATTACAGTAAAAGATTAGTATTTAGTCACGGCATTTCATGGTGAATTATTCATATAGTATTTTCTGTCAATGTTATGTTTGGAATGTGTTTCTGTTTATTTCGTTTTTGTGAGGCACAATGTGTTATGTGAAAAAATATTTAAGTTCATATATTTTCTGCAAAATTGTTGTTATATCTTGTTAAGACTTATTGGATTGGATTGGATTTGGATTGGATACAACTTTATTGTCACTCCCATGTAATTTTTAAATCTAAAAGCTGAATACTGCAAAAGATTGTGGCCTTTGGTTAACGATAATAAGTAAAAGAAATTATAATAATAAAATCACCAGATAATATATTTTCAGGTTTCCCCAACCTGGGGTGGTGGGGGGAGATCAAATAAAGCAACCTAAACTGCATTCCCTTCTGGCACTGAGGCACTGTTTGACATTTTCCTTAAATTATCCATCCATCGATTTTCTAATCCACGTATTCTCACAAGGGTCGCAGGCGTGTCGAAGCCTATCCCAGCTGTCTTCGGGCAGTAGGCAGGGTACACCCTGAACTGGGTGCAGAAAATTGCAGGGCACACATCGACAAACAACCATTCACACTCAGTCACACCTAGAGACAATTTAGATTGTTGCATTAACCTGCCGTGCATGTTTTTGGAACTTGGGAGGAAACCAGAGTACCTGGAGAAAACCTACGCCGGCACGGTGAGAACATGGAAGCTCCACATTGGAAGACCAGGGCTGGATTCAAACCCACAACCTCTGCACCCGGAGGCGGACGTCCTAACTGGTAAACACTGTCACCGAAATGTTGAATATTTGAAGCTTAATTTATTCCATTTTTTTACAAATCAAATGTTGCCAAATGGGTCTTATTTGTGTAGAGTATGAAATAGGTGAGAAAATCATCGTCCCTTTACATTTGTGGCAATGGGAGACCATCAAAACCGCTCACATGATCCAAAGTGGTTGCAATCTTGGGATTGATAATTGCATAATTTGAGTTTAATTTATTAAAAATGTTGCCAATCCAATTTTTCAAAATGGGTCTCATTTGAAAGCTGGCAAAGTAAAGAGTGTGAATAGGTGCGAAATTCAATCCCATTTTGTTTGGCTAAAGCGGACCATAAAAATCAATGACTTGGTCCTAAATGGATGCAATCGTGCCGTTGAGAATGCAAATGTTGCACAATTTGAATTTAATTCATTCCAATTTGACCAGTCGAGACTATGGTAGCTGAGAAGTACAAAACAAAACAATCCGGTACTTGTCATGTCAAAGCGTTCATATTAATTTCCATATTTTCTCAATAAAAACATGAACATACTCTACTATCATGAGATTTATGCTCACGACAGTATAAAGATCAGTCCTTTTAATACTACCTTGCACGTTCGACGTTGCTCGGATTTACACATGCGCGTTGTCGCTTCATGAATATTTAAGGACATCCCAACTCGGCACCCTTTGATTGGTCCGTTGTGACTGGGTTTCCTGTGTTTTTGTTTCAGAGCCCCACTTTTGAGGGCACTCGCGGATCAGAGCTTGAACTTGTCCGCCTGCTGCTGTCACTGGGCTCAGACGACGTCATTGCTCACAATGGACGGAGGACACCGCTGAAGTGGCCGCATCCACGCGTGTCGGACACTGTCGGAAATATCTCCCGTCTGCTCTGGATTTTGACCCAGCA